TTATAACGTTAAATTTATGGTGATTATATTAATTCATTATGTTCATACCTTATATATCTTACTAATCATTTAATTAAAACATCATAAATTTAACGTTATGAGCAGTGAGATCAATATGTGACCACACTATATTTCGTATAACATGATCACAAACGGAGAAGTATATGTATTGAAATAAAAAACATCATAAATGTTGGAAATCATAATATTACTATTAGCTTTGATATTATAATTTGCATTGATAAATGTAATAACCATTTGTTTTACTTTTCTGTAAACTCGAAAGAAATACTATAAAATAATGGTATTCTAGAATAAACTTATTCCAAATTAGTAATGGCTCCAAAATCCAAATAAATATTGGGATATGTGTGTGTGTATTATAAAAAAGATAATAATTCATATGGGCATATGAAATTTCGTATTACGGAAAACAACAAATAACCACTTGATCGTATAAATATTTAAAATTACCAGAACCTGAAAACAGCCCAATTAATTTTGCCCAGTTCAAACGTAGTCTAGGTCATAATCAGCGGTCTAATTGAAATTAATAAATAGTCAAGTAGTTAAATTGCAGGAGATTCTAAAATGCAAGATGTGGGGGCCATATAGACTCTGGTGGTTGAATCAAGAGAAACCAATAATTAATTAATAGATAATGAAATAATTAATTAAGTTCACGAGATTAGTAGTAGGAATCCTCATGTAAAATCTGAAGTTGCTTTTGTTGACTAAATATAAAGAGAAATATGATTGGTCGAAAGCGGGACCCACCATCCCCTGTGTGCCACATAACTCGTGCCTTTGGTTGAGCAGTTGATATCAAACATTAGTGACATTGGGACATTATTGGTCGGACCATCTTTCGCCTCTGTGGCCAATCGAAATTTTTATTTTAAATTTTAAATTATATATTTTTATATATGTCCTACAAATAAAACATCAATAAATATATATATATATCATTACTAATACATATATATTAAAATAAAAATAATTATAATTAAATTTATATACATACATAATACACATATTAAAATAAAAATAATTATAACTAACATATATACATATAATATATATTAAAAATAATATTTATATATATATATATATTAGTTATATATACAAAATATACATATACAACTAAGATATATACTTATAATTAGTTATATATACAAAATATACATATACAACTAATTAGGAGTTTGTAACTAATTATAATTATATATATTAGTTTTATATGTATATTTTATATATATAACTAATATATATACATATAAATATTATTTTTAATATATAAAATTTAAATATATGTAAATAAAAATTTAGATATTTAATAATATATTTTTTTGTTGAGTCAACAGTTTTTTGCTGAGTCAACATTTACGTTTAACGACGTTAACGGATGAGTGTTTGATTTGGAAAAAATTTAAAAGTCTGGGTATTTATGTGAGAGTTATGAAAAGTTCAGGTATTTATATGATAATTTTATAATTCGAGTATTTACATGAGATTTTTGTAAAAGTTCGGGTATTTTAATGCGATTATTCCTTTTTTTTATAAAGATGTTGTCACATGTTACTTTAATAACATTAATATTTTTGAATTTAGAACAAAACTAATGGAGATTCATAGATCTACAAATGACAATATTAATTTTATTCCGATAAATATAAATTCAGATTTGTGGAAAATGAGAATCTCAATGAATATCATTTGTTAAAACAAATTGATTTTTTTTGCATCCGTTGAATATCTTACTAGCTACAACTCGTAGATGGTCATATCTCTTAGACATCTTTGTGAATTTAATTAGATTATCACAAGTATTGGTATGTCTCTAATATTCCAAATGTGCAATGTGGATCGAATAATATGCGATTGTTAAATATTTTACTGTATATAACGGTGCCGACATGATACCCACGAATAAAATGTTGACAAGTCAAAAAGTGGAAGAAAAAATAATTAAATAAAAGGAAGTAGGAGAAACGTAAGTCGTAATTGGCATAGGAGGGCAAGTTGCATTTGCATTAAATTATTTTAAATTAGTTTGAAGTTATTTAATATAAATATATATATATATATATATATATATATATGTGTATATATATATTATTTTGGGGATTTCTTCTGTTGCAGATAAGCTCAGCAGCGCATACAACCATCTTTTCTCCGTCGGTCGTCATCATAATATTACTAATTGCTCCCACTACTTTCAAAAATATGTGTGTGTATATATATTTATATTATATCTTATGGACACATATTTTATATTTTATCTTCCTAATTACGATGAGCGTTATGGCTCGATGCAAAGGGACACAACTCTCGAGGTCAACTGATTAAGTCAAGTAATTCCAAAACAACATTTTCATATGATTTCTTATGACAAAAAAAAAATACATTTTTCAAACGGAGGTTGGAGCACTATATTTATAACTAAATTGCACTATATTTACAAATAAATTCCCAATAATATGTATTCGATAGATAAATAGCCTACACCTACGCTATAACACTTCGGATAGAGTTTGAAAAGTCAAACGATGAGATGGTCTGTACATATATATATATATATATATATATGTGTATGTGTGTATATATATGCGCATGTGTATGTTACACGACTTCTAATAATTTTAAAAGAAATACTGAGAAGGGTCATTTAACTAAGGATAGAGTAAAAGTTAATTTGATAAATGACGATGTGATCATATGTAATGGGATTGGTTATGGGCAGCTAGTAATAACATTAGAATCTTCGAATAGTCAACTTACTAGCTGAAGGAATTTAATGGCTGTGGACGTCAAAAGCAAAGTCGCGGCCTTTTGTATTTACATGACTACACTCGTAAACATTAAATTAAATAATTATAACAAAAAAAAAAATACATAAAGACGAAATAAAAAGCAACGCCAAGGGTTGACCAACACAATCAGATTTCTCAGCCCTTGTACATATTTCAACTTGTTTGAATGTGAAAAAAATTTCAACCTCAAATAATGTATTATGATCAGTTAGTATAAGTCTGATTTATTTTTATTTTTTTTTTTGTAAAAGTCTGATTTGAATTTCCCAAAAGCATTCGGAAATATCAGTGATTGAATCGCAACTACAGTAAAAAATGAAACCCAGCGGTAAAGTTATATGTATATATATACATATATATATGTGTGGTAAAGAAAATAAAGTACATATCGAGATATTTTTCTTAGTCCATCTATCATCGCTTATTTGTTTTCGTTTCGATTGCAAGCAACCTTGACTCTATTTTCTTCTTTAACGGGAATATCATGACTTTTTAACTTAGAATATATACCATTTGAAAAATAAATAACGAAGTTTATTAAGATAATTTTTTTTGATAATTAGGATGGTTCTCAGGATTTTCGACTCGACTACATCCACCATAGGTCTGAGACCAGTTTTGTATATAGACTATTTTGGTTTAAAAATTACATCATTTCCCACCAGTTGAATCGAATCCTAGATTTTGAGGATGACTTTGGTCACCAACCGTTGGGTTTTATTAAAATAAATATTGTAATTTCTTATGCACTAGGAAGATAATTAAAGCTAAGCAAAATTCCATCCATGCATATATATATATATATATGTTTCAAAAAAAGGCACGCACATATATGTGTGTGTTTGTGAAATATATACATATACGTGAAAATAAGTTTATAGTTTGTTACATAAAAGAAAAAGAGTTTATAGTTTGTAAATACTTAATACTCGATATAGACTGTATAGCTATATTTTCCACGGTATTCTCGTTGCGAATGATACCGTGTCTCTTCAGTTCAAATACATTTAAAACTAATTAAACCTTAAAATATTTAGGCAAAAAAGATTAAAGCTTTAACGTAAAAAAAAATAAAGGCATAAAATACAAAACCCACACGCGGTTTGAACATGTATATACCGCAATATATTATAGAGAGTGAGCCCCTAGTGTACGAACTACGAACCAATAATATTCATATATATATATATATATATATATATATAAAAAATGAAAATCCAAACAATAGGGTTTAGGAAATGGTTTTGGAGATTCAACTTTATATTTGATTGATTTTCAATTACACTTGGAAACAAGAGAGAGGGGTCATCGGTCCAAAAAAGATAAGAGAGAACGTACCAACTTGCTCTTCTTTTATAATTTCAGGCACACATTAATCCCTCTTAAAAGTCTTCTCCCTGTGATCCTTCAAAGTCTTTTTGCCAGCTTTTCATTTTTTTTGACTAATTTGCCACTTCCATTTATCCCAATAATTTTCAACCATCAGAAAACAACTTGTAATTAATATATTTCCGATAATAAAATAAACTATAATAATAGAAGAAAACCCAAAATACATTATATTTGTGGGATATAATTAGTTAGCTCAAGATACTATAGAATTAGGGTTCACAAGGTAACATAGAGAGGCAAATGTTTATCTTTCCGTACATATTCGTGAGCGGATGATCCACATTTTAATACATGGTGCCATTTCTGTCCAATGAACACAATATGACATTGTTTATAATCAGTTTAAATAACATATCATTAGTAAAATTTTAAATGTGTATTCCCATTGTGATTTAAAATATATTATTCGAATATTTTGAGAGATTAATTTTTTAGATTATCCAAGCAAACAGATAGATACAACACGGGGTGGGGGTGGGGGTGCCATTTATGAAACTAGAATGAGGTTTTGAAGAAACCCTAAGACACGCAAGGATGAGTGGTGCAGACAGACATGTACGTACCCGGAAACACACAAAATCCCCATTCCTTCGCATTTAATGCTCATGTCGTAATGCATTTGTCTCGGCATCTACGATATCGTCAACATGCTGATGAGCCATTTGATGGGTTTTCCAATTATTTATTTAACAGTGAGGCCCATTAAAGCAGTCATGATTCACATACATATATTATAAGGTCGGGCCATTCGTTATCGGACCAAGGCCTCGTATATATTCAATTCAAAGTTCAGGCTTAATAGAAAAAGAATGTTGGATTTTCTGTAACAAAATCTCCAAGGGAAAATGTTGGACCAAAACATTGGACCCTGACAATGTTGTCTTTTAAGGACACAAACATCGAATCTAATAATATGACATTTTCCCTTCTCAGCAGAGACAGATGAAAAATTTGTAAACATTAAACTCTCAACTATTTCACCTGTTCTCTCAATGTGTAATCTTTATTACCGGAAAAAAGCTTTTTTATTTTTTATTTTTTTTATAAATCCAGATTCATTCATTGTTTATGTTCTTTTTCGTTGATGAAACTTCTCACCTTCTCTGCAGTGCTACAAGTTCTTTTTCGATGCGCCTAATCTCGTTTCTCAGATCTTGCAATGAAACATCGCTTTGCGCTTTCGAGTTTGTCGAATCTTGCGAGGATTTATCGGCTAAAAGCGCTTGAAGATGTTTCAGACACGAGAGGTATGCCGACTTTACTTCAGGAGAATCTCCTGCATGAGTTCCAGTTCCAAACTGCACACACCAAAAACAGCCAACATCGAAAGCATAATTTCCCCACCTAAAAGGCTTCGTGTTCTCGAGCTTTTCGAGGCTACGGAGATGCGAAAACTTTCTAAAAGCCGGGTTTTTTTTTTTCTTTCAGAGAGTTATGTAATATATGGAAATACCTCTTTGAAGGTCGAAATGCATTGGAAAAGTGCATCTTCAGCTGCTTCCGGGTGCTCTTCCTAGGACAGTGATTAAACGAAATTAACACCGATGCAAACAGGAAACTACATTATCTCTATAAATATAATAAGCTGTAATAAACTCGGAATCTCGACTTAACATCTTGGACAAATATACGGACAATCCAGAAAAGTTTTCATTTTTTAGTACAACCCAATAAGGATATAGACAAAGTACTAACCTTTGTCTCCTGGATCTGGTTTTTGTTCATCTCCAAAAGTGCAAGACTTTCAAAAGATTGAAGCTGCAACAAAAGTTACAAAACACACACACACAAAATATCTCTCAACACCGATACTGAAATTCCGGAAATAATTTTTGCTTACATCAAGACCTACCAGTATAACTAGTGCTGCATTCTCATCCTTTGATTTCCCGAGTTTTTGCTCTTTGCCCTTTTGCTTTTTCAGCTTATGCAAAAAGTCTTTCGCTATCCTGTGCGCCATTACAAACGACAATTTTCTTCTCAAAAAACTACCCAGCATACAGATGATTGACCGGTAATCATACGCCCATTACCAGAGATTCGAATGCAACTAAATTCATACTGAGGACTTGATCTGAAATGAGAAAGACCATCAGGAAAAGGCAAGATCCCAACCTTATTGATTGTTCTAAGCACTTCTTCGCTTTATCTAATTCAGATAGAGCTTCGGTGATATCTGCCTTTCTGGACCGACTAGCACGAAGCGTTAACGTTCTTGCAATATGAAGCAAGTTCCCACCAATCTGTGAGTCATCAAAGTTGAAAAAGAGATTAAATACTGCATTTCTTGCATGTAAAATGAATAACAAAGCAGAAGGAGAGGGAAGGAACCTGGATGTGGGTTTCAGGAAGAAGAGTTTTCCTAGAATCAAGGCACCTATTCAACAAACTCGTCGTGAATATTCATATTCAATCCTCGTGATTTTATCCGATTAACATTACAGAGGTTCACCTTTCGAAAAGATCTAGAGCGTCTCTAAGCTGTCCAGTTGATTGTAGAGTAAGAGCTAATGCTTCAGCTGCATTAACGGTTTCCATCGATTTCCATCCCTTTGAAAAATATTAGTAAAGAATATCACGAAAAAACAGGAGGGTCATGAATCATTGGAAAATTTCTTTGAAACATCAAAAAAAAGGTAAAGTAAAGTAATCAAGAAGAAGCCACACCTTTGATAATTCCAATGTGTGCAATAGTTTCCTCTGTATGTTTTCGGCCTCAGCCAAATGATTAGATTTTAAATATATCTGCGGAATACATATGAGACTGTTAGCCCAGCTAACGAAGTAGCCTTCTTCTTGCATGAAAATTTGATGTGTTAAAATTCTTATAAATTTAAAGATTCTTCAGACAGAGAGTTTACATGTAGACCATTATGCTTCTTGCATGCGGCTTATCAGTTCATTTTAAATCACATCAATATAAACCTCTCAGAATCGATAACTCGTCATTTTACTTAACAACAACTATCCCTGATACGTAAAACATTATGAATTCGGCATGTAATATTATCAGGAATGAAATTTTCAGATACGATATTCAGGATTTATAACAAGCAGCTAAATCCGACCCTTAGTTATCTTATACGGTGCAACCCGCTCAAACCACTTTCATGGTGAGGCAGAAACAGAAGCGAAACCTGGGAAAGATATCGTGATCTCCTGATGTATGTCAATGACTCCTCTAGCCCATCTTCCTACAGCTCGAAACATAGAAGCAACAGTCAACAAACGTGAAATTCCATAAACACAAGCATCGGGTAACAACTATTATAACATTTACATACCTCAAGTATTTTGAGAGAGTCCAGAATCAGAGCCTCGGCATCTGTTTCTTTTCCTTGAAGATGCAACACCTGTTGATATTACACGTTCTTTTGATTTATACGAAAGTTCAGAAGATTCATTAAATTAGAAGAGGGCCAGAATTTCAAATCAGCTTGGATGTGTAACGTTAGATGCAATTCAATATATGTAGAAAACCGAGAAGATTATCACGATACACTATAGATGGATGGTGACTTATTGATTATGTGCATAAATGTATTTAAGAAACGCAAACATGAGGAAACAATATAAAACACAATTCTGTAACATTAACATATCAAAAGAGCTACCAAAGATCGACAAAGTAAAAAAGTAAACACAAGAAAATACCGTTCCAAGATGATACATTGTGTCTGCATAATCTGGATTGCTCTGTCCCAACACTCGCCTCTTGATCTATCTTGTTACCCATTTTCGAACACACACAAGGGTTCACAATCAAGTAATAAAGCGGAATTCATAATAGGATAAGTTTCAGAATGCGAATTTAAAAATAAGAAAAATCACCACATTTCATACCTTTAAAGCACGCTGAACGGGGAACCATCAATAAGAGAACAAATAATAAAGTCGTTAGTTAGCAAGTGAAACTCCTCTATTTTATTTGATAGCAGTATGGCACAGGCTCGAAAGAAAAAAAATGCAAGGCACAACACAAGAAGGGTCGGTTCTTTTAAAAGCATTCACAAACTGCAAAATCCTCTATTTTAGAACATGATTTAAAGGAAACAAACAATTGTACAATGAAACTTTTGCAAAATCATGCCCAATTTTATCAAACCCTCATCCTAGATTTGTACATACGACATTCCCTTCTATCATTACCGATGTCATTTTACAAGAGAAATACATAACAGAGAAAAGTTTGACCACAGTTTCTAGATTTGCATAGAGTACAAGACACTCCCCGCTGTAGCATGTAACAGCATCCGTCAAACACAGCCAGTAATAAGGGTAAAAGTAAACTGAAAAAGATCTTTGAGAAGGACAAACAAAAGTTTGGTAAATTATGCAATTTTGTATCAGTAAGGGATATTAGATATACTATGTTGAATACATAGGTAATTGCTAGAACATGAAAGGGCTAACGAGACAATAGTGCCGATACTAAGAAGATCGGCTCATCCACCGTCTATCTGAGGAACGTCACCTCCCAACTTCGATCAAATGCTTGGTGTACATATCAGTCATATGACTGTCAATCTTTCTTTTTTCTCAATTCAAACACATAATCAATTAGGTCCAATTACCCATTTTGCTAATTCCCACATGATATCAATTAAGTGAAACTCCTTTTGAATGGAAGAATAATATTACTCCTGTCCCACACTTTCACATTGTCTTCAAGGTGAAACTCCGAAAATTATTAATGAATCGTATCGAATGGTTCTCATGTGGCGTCGCAAGTGGGAAGATGTAGCCATTGGATCAAAACCTCGATATTCTACCATTCGCTGATGAGACTCTCCGGTTGGACCTTCAGCACAAGTTTGGTCATGATGGGCAGCGGCCGGGCGGAAACTTGTTTGGCGATCCCGATAGTTGGTTTCAGCTACGAGACATGGAAAACTGAAAGCTAGAGAACATCGGGGACATCGAGGTTTTGATCCAATAGCTACATCTTCCTGCTTGCGATGCCACATGAGAACCATTCGATACGATTAATCAACAATTTTCGGAGTTTCACCTTGAGGACAAGGTGAGTGTGAGACGGGAGTAATGTTATGTTTCCATTCAAAAGGAACTTCAATAAATTAATATCATGTGGGAATTAAAAATATGGAGAATTGTGGACCTAATTGATTATGTGTTCGAATTGAAAAAAAAAGGAAGTTTGACCGCCTTTATATGGCTTATATGTTCCTCAATAAGAGGGTTTTCTCTATTGATGAATAAGATCATCAAGGGTTCGATCAAAGTTGGAAGTTGACGTTTCTCAAATAGAGGTCGGACCAGTCGGTCACCTTAGTATCAATACCATTTTCTCATTAGAATCCTCTTTCGGGTTCTTACAATAATCCACTAAGTAATGATTACCTCGTAACAGGAACGAGCTTCCGCAAGTTTTCGCTGGACAAGATAAAATTGTCCAAGGTTGTGTAAAGTAGCTCCAACACTGCATTGTTGATATATACTTGAATGAAGAGAAAAAGAAAAAGAAAACCTACTAACAGGATTAAGGCACTTATCACTTGCAACATATATTTATAAATCAGTCTTAACACGTGTTGTGGTTTTCCAAAACTGTAATGCAAGGACATAACCTAGGCAGAATATGAGCCAATTCGATTGTTTCCATAAATGTGAAGATCTTTCAATTCAAACACGAGAAAAGCTTGCAAAACAAAAATTGAAGAAAACCTAACTCTACAGCATCATACAAATCTAAATGCAGAAACTCAGGACCATCACAAAGGATATAAAGTATCCACTGCTATAATTTGAAAAGTTAATGGTTGCTTACCGAACATCTTCAGGACCATATGACTGCTCCAATATGCTGAGGGCTTCTAGATACAAGGGTTCAGCTTTATCAAAATCCTTCTTAACTCTATATAACTCCGCCTTACATAGAGAAAAATGGAAAGAGAAAAGAAAGTGCAAATAGTCTAAGAAAACAAGAAGCAACAAGGGAAATGCTTTTCTAGATTCCTCTCTTGAAACATCAGATCTTGTATACACTAGAAATTCCTAAAACCATATTGAATCCTATACCTGTTGCTTGAAAATAAATCCAATCAGAATTCCTCATAAGTTAAAAAGAATATAAGATATTACAATTCTAATCACGGATCTTATAAAGCCCTTACGCGCCCGAGTTCTACCTAGAGTAATTCTCATTTGGGTCCCTTCAAGGACTATGTCAAAAGGTTGATACCGTTGGTATCTCAAAACATTGCCTCTTGAGATGGATATGGTAAGATTGAACAGGCACAATGATCTAAAGAAGTAAAATTTAGAAAACATGAAGCACATTAAAACTGCAAAAAGGCATAAAAACCCAACCAGATTGTTGCATGCAGATGCAACATGTGGATCCCTCTCTCCAAAACCTTCCTTAGCTTCCTGAATTGCTGAGCAGAAAAACTTCTCAGCCTGGTCCAGTTTTCCCTGTAAGAAAGAGTAAATTGGCAAGCGAGAAAATTTTGCTTGACAAAAAAGCAAAACAGATTAAACTCGGAGTTTTAACCTGCAAGAAATAATCTCTTCCATTATCAGTAAACACCCTCCATTTAGATGTATGTATATTAGACACCACAGATCCATCCTCAACTTTTTCCAGTCCAGTCATGCTAGCTTCATTTGTCTCGCCTCTGGAATTTGGCTCAATAGGCAAGTCGTCTGCCAAAACAGGGTTTGTGGATAACCCAAGAATTGCTGAAAAAGAAAATAAGAGATTCAGAATGAATAAAAAAAATAACCCAAGTATTTGTACGCCAGCATCCTCAACTATTGATTTCTAACCGCGGAAAACTACAATAGGAAAGAGGTATGCATAACACAAGACAAAAGGATGGATGAACGGTGAAAAAGAAGAAATACTGACTCAAAACATCGAAAGCAGCTAGCTTTAAAGGTATGAAAATGCATCTTTAAGACTTAATCAAAGAGAGATTCTCATTTTCCCATACAAAAACTTGCACTGAGACAAACGTACCAGCTTGCCCAGAAAAGATTATCCAAAGCTGAGGATGATGTAGATTCCATGAATACCCTCCAGAGCCATTGTGATATGAAAACTTTGGTTTACCTGCATTTAAATTCATTGGTCCGTTTCCAAGGGTATACATAGCTCAAACAATTTTCCATATTTGAAAGCACCACTTCATTTCATCAAGTCAAGATCATCATGTGCAAATGCAACTCTAATAATTGTGTATATTCGCACCGGAGAACACAAAATGCAAATAGAATTGTAAAGCATAAAAAAAAGACCGATTAAAGAGGTTGATTATCAGACAAAACACCAGTAACTTTAACACTCTCGCACAACTGACCTCGATGAGAAAATCTAAGAAAGCCCTCACTGAAGTTCAGAGTAGACACAAGCATCACCATGAGAAAAGGGCGATCAAGGTTTAATCTATTTCGCAAGATTTGATGTAGAAACCGTCAGACTAAAACCCTAACAAATTGTTGACCGGAGAATGATAATCAAATCAAATGCTTACGGAGAGAAATAGAAGAAACATTCGAATTCTCACGCAGCCATTTTGCAAGAACCCCAAGAAAGTAACAGACTTTGGCGGAAAATTCCATTAACAGATCAGATTAACACAAAAGAGAAGAAAAAACAGACATTGATCAAAACCGAAAGTCGCCGACAAATTGTCGAAGCTCCAATTCGGATGCAGCTAACAAGGCTGGAAGAACTTCAAGAAAACCCAGGATCGAATTCGATTCGAAATTCAAGGATCAAATCAGAACTTGATACGACAGAAGACGCACCGGAGAGTGAACTATAAAAGGCATTGGTGATGGGCCGTCGTGAAACGGAGAAGGAACACGAAGAACGATGAGTTTTTCTCAGAAGACTCGAGAGGATTCGAAGGCGATTCATCGGGGTTTAGCAGACGCGAACTTTCTTGAAACCTCGTCTCTGGGTATTATATGTAAGAAAAAAAAAAGGGTTTTAACTTTTTACTAGCCGTTAGCAGCAAAATTTATTAGGAAAAGAGATTACTATATTAATTTATGCTGAAAAAAATTTCTTTATTTTTTTATTTCGGATATTTTTAATTGAAATATATAATAATTTGAATATTTAAATAGTATCTTGAATTAAAATTCATACTAAATCAAAACCTTTTTATAAAAATTTAAAAGCGGAATGGATTATTAGGGTTTTTTTGGGTTCAAAATGGGCCAATTATTGGGCCAGCTTTTCACAGGTGAATTTCAAAAGATGCGCAATGTCTTAGCCCATTAATGATTTTTGCATAATGGACCAACCATTTGGTAGCTAAAGCTCATATGCCCATTCATCGGATTAGATTTGATATTCGTGAAGTTTTAGTAAGGCCCATATAACACAAATTTCCAATTTACTTGAACTGAAATGATACCATTTAATTTCTGGATTCATTCTGGTAATTCGTACAGTTTAATTTTTAGCTTATAGAATTAGATATATCTTACGTTTTATGAAATTATTTGATTTGTAAAAAAAAATGGAAATTTCGAACAATCGGTAAGTCATTGCAAAACATAACTAAATTTATAACCGTTGCAAATTGTTTTGCCACATTTGAATAATCATTGTAAATACAAAAAGGTTACTTTTGTAATTTTTTTAAAAACAAGCATAGAAGACCGTTCATACACACCTCGGCATTAACGTGTCTTGCACTCGTGCGCGCCTCGAATATACGTAACAAAATCTTCTCGTAAGTCATTAAAGCTGCAAACTTTGATTACTCCGAGTTTTAATTAATGTCTTTGCAATTATGAATCACGAGGCTTTCACGTGCAATGCAACTCCCTGACCTTCTTGCTGTTTGGCACCGAGACAATATTTACATTTTTATTTTATAAAAAAAAAACTATTTGGGCATATATATATACATTATCGATTCATTAAACTTGATTAATCAAACTAATCATGTTCCTTGACGTTATAATTCGAACTTAAAAAAAATCTTAATCGATTTCATTATCGTTATAGTTCTACGTGTGTGCTTGTCGTGTCCTCTTGTTTTCTTGAATTAATTTGTCTTCTAAAGGTTGTAACTTTGCTCCGAGGAGTTATTCCGACATAATTGATCACGTGAATGCATAGGAACTGCTTAATTTGGTCAACCATTTTATTTCTACTCTAAACTATATCTATGTTATAACAAATCCAATGAGAAAAATTCAGAATTTGTTTTTGTTGCTAAAAAGATAACCATAAATGTTGATTTAGTTTTATTTTATATAGCTTATAATTTTTGTTCGTTTTATGTTAAAATGACATGAATTTCAATGGTCACTGATTAGTTATACATTTAAAAACTGTTATATAATTTAACAGAAATGATTAAATTACAAATTTCAAAACAGACAACAGTATCAAGAGTTTAAGAGTTGAGAAGCACGAGACCGTGAAGAGAGGTGATTTGCTTCGTGTTAGAGCATATATTAGAGTCTAAAACCCGATTAATTAAATCTATAACTCATCGTGTTTTGTGCCTTTTTATATTGTTTTTAGAGTTCAATTAATATATACCACAAAACATAAATTCAATATCTTTTTTTTTTGGTAAAATTAAACATTATCATTGTATTATTCAATTGATTCTCTCGAACGCCTAATGTGGATAATTATTTAGATTAATAGTAAGATTATGGTTGTATTAATTTATTTAACATTATCCTGATGACATGGGGCACCAAAACAAAACAAATTAGTCAGCATGCAGTTGTTAAAGCAATAATCATGATCCAAATCATACATTTAATGCACACCTTAATTATGAAAACATTTATGATTACACAATAATGAAATCCTGAATCTTATTCTAACATGAATGGGTGCCTCGTCAGTCTGACATCTTACAAGTCAAAATAACTTTAATACGCTTAATAAATCAATTTTTAATGAATGAAATAATTAATCATTAAAAATAGGTATAAAAGAAATATATATACATATATCGTTGAAATAGAAAAATAGATATGTGATTAGAGGAAAATATAGATTTTGAGATATAATTTTCATTAATAAAGACCACTATCATATTTATTTCCGTTATATATATATATATATATATATATATATTATTTGTTAATTTTTCTATAAATATATGAGTTATTTTTATTGTAACAAAAAAAAGATGTATCAATAAAATAATTATATTTTTTTTATTTATCTTTCTTTCTTATTTAATTTCTGTATATATATATTATATGGTGGTCGGTATACAGTAACCAATATTTAACGATTTGTGTAGTGTGGATATTAATAAAGCGAATCATGCAACAAATTCAAGTTTGCTTCGCTCGTCATGCAGTGTAGGATTCAACTACTCGTGGGAGTGTGGTTACTTACGTGGATCCAACACATGTAAACGAAAATAAAACATTGCATCAATTTAAATATATACTTTAAAAAATGTATTTTCAACTCGGGAAAAAAAAACGATACACAGGCTCATTATATACATAATAATTATTATTATATACACAAGCATGGATCTTTGCTACATAAATATCCACTATAACGAGAGGAAAAGATATGAAATTTTGACAGCCACAGAACCAATAAAAAACAAGGAAAACGACGGGGTATATTATATATATGAGGATTAAAATTGCAAGATGCAAGGAAGTGGGTGAGAATTTAAGAGGGGAGAGGGGACAATGGGGCCATATTTGTTTGGAATTGCGAAATTAAAATAATTGGTAACAGCCAAGAAGAGGATAGAGGAAAGAAAGACAGACAAAACACACAAGTGGGTTTTGGGGGTGGGGTCCTAAGGGACAGTGTCGGGTGGGTTTGGGTGCACTTCACGCCCTTTCATGCCCCACAACTCGCATTCTCTTCGTCCCTTTTGGCCTATAAATAAAACCATCTCCCCCTCTCTCCTCTTCCCACTTCTCAAACTTAACTTAAACCCTTGAAATCAAACACCAAACCCTAACTAGAGTCTCTTTAATTTGTGCCATAAAAGAAACTAAAGTTTGAATCTTTCTCGGAAGATGAAGATGGGAAGTCCAAGCATGGGAGGATCCAAGAGAAGGGTCTCGAGCAGAGGCCTTGGCGGTGTTCTTAGGGAGCAAAGAGCTAAGCTTTACATCATTAGAAGATGTGTCGTGATGCTTCTTTGTTGGCATGATTGAAGAAGAAGAAGAAGAAGTGTAGTATCAGAACCGAGACCATAAGCGTTTTCGTTTGTGCTTTGGAATTGATCAAATGCGATCTAATGCGAAGAAGATGAAGAAATCAGGCGGTTATCTTAGGCCCCTCAAAGGAACTTTCCAAATTTGTTGTTCTTGTGAACAAATTTTCAGTGATCCATGTTTGCCTGGTGGAGGGGCAAAATTGTAAATATCGGCGGGGGAGAGATTAGTGGCAAAGTTTTGTATTGGCTCTTTGGCTTGTTCCACGGGGCTTGGAATGTAAATCAAAGTATCTTTCGTATACATTTTTTTGACGTTCTTAGTCTAACAAATATTTTCGTTATGCCTTTTTTTTTAAATCTTTTCGTGGAATTTGTGATTGATAATATCAGTAATCATAAGGAATAAATATGAAGTTATACACGAGAATGAGTTAAAGAACGTTTTTATTTAAAAATGTAACCAATATATATTATGAGTTCCATACTAAATTTTGTTTCTAAACGCCCTCCTACTACGTTGTTCAACCCCTGATTCGGGTCAAATCGGTAAGTCTTTGTTCCATGATGGACCAACAATTTTCTAAATAATTTAAATTTGAGATAAAGTATAATAATAATAATAATTAAAGTAATTGATTAGTCTATTGTTAAATGTTTAATCATGCTGCCCCACGCATGGTTATAACTCTTTTCAATCAGTCCTTTGAGCCTCATCACATCACAATTTTCAACATATTCTATGACTAGCTCGAACTTTCATGATTCGTTCTGGTTACCTTCCCTTAAATTATGCAATTAATAATTGAGAATTGCTTCGTTTTTCAAATTCGTTTGGCTATAGATATATATAAAGGGTCATATCCAAAATTATTAAAAAAAAAATCGTATGGTCCTGAAATTATATGATGTGACTATTAGGTTGCTAAATAATTAAGATGGAAGACTTGTATGATGTCACATCAAATCATGTTCTATTAGAAAATAAAACTTATATATGGTAGCCACCCGTCGTATCCTATCATATCCTATATTATTGATGCAAAATCTTTATGATATTCTTACATAATTATTCAAGAATTAAATCTCCTAATCTTTCTTTTACAACCCCAATACTTTTTTAATTACGAAAATACCCCAAAATTATTTTGTCCATATGCTGCCAAAAAAAAAAGTAAAACAGACACACATTTGGAGCATCCAAACACGCCTATAAACTGTTTGGACATGAACTAAGCCTGTGGGCCCATTTTCTGGGCTTGAATTTGATATTTCACGGCCCACTAATCGAGGACGCCACGTGTACGGTTTAAAATTCACATGTCGGGTTCTTTTATATTTTTTTTCCTTAGTATGTACGTAAATCTATCCCAAAAAACAATAATCCACGTGGACGCAGAGGCAGAGGAGCTTTTTATTCCCTGTGCAGTACAGAAGCCCCTGATCAGAACATCGTCGTTCTGTCTTGATGCCACGTGTACGATTCCAAAATTATGCAATATATAACATTATCACTCGATTTGCAATTATTATGTATCAAGGTAAGCGATATGTTAATTAAACGAATTATTAATTATATTTTTTTTTTCGAATTTCTATATGTTTGAAAATTTTAATCTTGACTAATCTTTGGTCTAATATTTGATCTTCCAAATGTAGTAACGTTGAAAAAACAATAATGCGTAGAATATTATAGAATATTTCTTATTTTGATATTGAATATAAAAAAAAAGAGATGTGGAGATGTCGGGTCAAGATGTCAGGTGGCACAGAAGCTGAAATCGTGTCGTAAATATTCTGTTGTCGGCCATTTTCACGAAGACATCCATAAAGTAATGGCAATTCGTCTACACGTAATACGTATGTTCATTGTCATGCAATTATTATACCTTATATACATATAATAGTAATTTATTTCTAACTTAAACTACGAAAATAAACAATTAATTAAAAACAAATACAAGTCAATCGGTTATAGTCTTATAGACATCGTCCTGTCACGAGATTGTCGACGAAAATGGGATAAATAAGTTAATTTCGCATAATATATTTTTAGACGTGGTGTTAGCGCAAGAGTTGAAAGGAGAAAGAGACAAAAGGGGTTGAAGAGTCGAAGCGACAGGAGATAAGGCAGGCCACGTGCGGCGGACCTACCACCGTCCCCGTCGCCGTGGACCCCACGTCCACGGCGGAGCCACCGTCTCTCTCTCTCTCTCTCTGATCTCTCGCACACACTTTGACTTGTCCGATTCTCTCTCTCTCTCTTAATAATTGATCCCTTTACAGATGATATGGTGCCCTTTTGTACTTCCCGGTTACGTTGTTGATATGATTACACAGCCAAATTAAGCTAACTTCTGTTCTTATGGTCAAAATAATAGTGTTCCCTTTTTCCACTTTTCTCTTTATTTATATGTTTTTTATTTAAAAAAAAAATATATTATAACCTATATATCAATTGTAAATATAGATTTAAAATTTAAATCGTCTAACAATAGCAAGCAAGCAACTACCATCAAAATCACTATTTGTGTTTTTGGGGAACTCAAATCTTATAAACCAAATAGGATATAGATAATATTGGATCATCGCGATTACGTTGTATCACCAAATAAATATCATACATATATAAGATAACAATCTCCCGCAACAATGTTCATCGATATGAACTTTCATGTTTTATTTGATCAGTCACTCACATATGTTCCATGTGATATTATATATATATCATTGAAGAAGATAAACTCTAAAAATTTCTCAATTTCTTTTAAGAAAATAAAAACATAGACGCTCGAGCAATCAATAACCGACCAAAGACAAGACGAAATCCAACGATAATTTAAAAAGAAAGCCTCCAAAATATATTATTATAACCTGACAAAGAAGAAGAAAACAAGTAGATATTGGATAATGTTTTCCGTAGGTTGTGTGTAAGTTCAATGCTTCAAGGAATCAAAAGAGGCCCATACATACATACATACATACATACATACATACATACATACATACATACATACATACATACATACATACATACATACATACATACATACATGTTGTCTTGCCAAATCCAACAAAGTTTTCGATCGGTAGTGATCTCTGGTTCAAGTTTGTGATCTGTTTCATACACGTTTCTTGTGATCTTAAAGACATTTGGTCCACTTCTCTCGTTGACTTCCTCGTTCTTGCGTGCTTTTGTCCCAACTCTCTGAACAATTTCAGCTTCTATCTAGTTGTCTTCCACATGTATGTTCCTTGTAGAAATACACATTTACATGCAATGTTCCTTTGTATATTTATTTTCCTTTTTAAAAAATCGTTTTAATGAAAATGGTTTTGTCTCGTGTGGGCCCAGTAACAAGCCCAGTGGACCTCGCGTAATACACTCATTCTTTCTTTATTTAACGTTTTCTTTTGTCCAATGGGCTTTGTTCTCCTTCATATGTTCATGGGCTATAACATCAGTAAAGAACGCCCTTTGTTTTTTGGGCTTGGGCCTGTTTCTCGTATTGAATTCAGGGTTTTATAATTTATGAAATAAAAAAAACATTTTAATGAAAATGATTTCGTGTCTCGTGTCGGCCCAGTAACAAGCCCAATGGACCTCACATGATACACTCTCATTCTTTCTTCGTCTATTTACATTTTCTTTTGTCCAATGGGCTTTATTCTCTTTCTTATGTCGGGCCTTAGCACCAGTAGAGAAAACCCTTTGGTATTTGGGCTTGGGCCCGTTTCTCGTATTGAATTCAGGCTTTTATAATTTATAAAATCAAAAAACAGATATAAAAGTTCATTATTGCATTGGGATGACGAAACGGTGACGTAAGGTGCTTGTAACGCGTAATAAGTTTCAAGTACGATGAGCAATAGGGAGAGGCAGTGAAAGAGACAACAAATAAAGATCAGAAAACCAAAGGGGCGAAGAGTTTCTAAAACAAGACAAGATCTAAGGTTTCTCTTCCCACGAAAAAGATACCCTTTTGTCTTATTTCTCCGTTTTCCTTCATATTTCTCCATCACAACTCTCCATCCATCTCTCTGTCTACTGAGATACTGCGACTGACTCGTATACTACAAACAAACATCTGTTCTTCCTTCCTTTTTAAAAAAAAAAATCATATATAAGATATGTAAATATCATTTATTAGATTATAAAGTTATTATCATTTAGATTATGAAGTGTTCGCATAAGATACAAATCTTACGTTGCACATGTTATATATCTATAACGCAAACTCACTCGATTTCATTCTTAAAAGCAAGCACTTTTACATTTACATCGTCTCAAGTACAATGAGAAACCAAACCCATCATTACAAACCCTAAAAACCAAGGGATCTTCATAGATAAAACACAGAAGAAAAACCCACAAATACAACTGAAACAAGATATCAACCCAATTAACAGAAACCCTGTTGATTCGGAATCATCATTACCACCGCACGTAATTATAAGATTATAACCTAAATTAAGATTATCTATTGTGTTGATTTGATCAATAACGCCGATTAACAACACTATTAGTTCTTTGTCTCTTGGCGCCTCCTGAAGAAGACTGATCGAAATTGTTATCCCCGTGAACACATTTCTCTATCACTGCCTTCAAAGCTTCTTGTATGGAATTCACTCGATTGTATTTCTTTTGTTCATCGTCGTCATCATCGTCGCCATAATTGTGATTGCTGTTATCGTCGTCGTAGCTTCTAGGATCTTCCTCGGCGCTTATGAAAAGCACGTTCTTGACGCGGCCGCCGACAGTCGTGATCTCCGCCTTGAGCGTTTTCAAACGCAGTTCCTTCAACGCGTTGATGACGTCATTCATGAGGTCAGTCCTGTCTTGGCAGCAGAATGACGCTTTTATTACGACGTTGCCATCCCCGTCGTCGTATGACGAATCCACTGTCAGCTCGTCGGCTTCCGTCGGGACAGGGCACGTGTCAGAGATCAGAGATGTCTGTCGTTTCAGTTCCTTCATGTGTTGGATCACTTCCGCAAGCAACGATGCTTTGTCCGTCTGCAAGAACATCATTTTTTTTTTGGTCAATAATTTGGATTGCTTGATACATTTAAGTTTATATATACACATGTAAATAACGTTCATGCTGCATGGAAAAATAAAAGCATACGTATATGAATTTTTTCACACAAATCCAAAAACGTTTGTTCACCAGCTAATTCTTTTATGGCCCTCACAATTCATAAAAAAGACATATAAAAACCAGATCTAAATTAATGATAAGAGAGATACATATATGTGTGTATGTGGGCTTACTTTGGTTGTATTTGGTAATATGCTACGCAACTTAGCAAGATGGTTATTGATTCTCTCTCGGCGTCTCCTCTCGGCCTCGCTATGGCTCTTGGAAGCAGCTAAAGCCTTAGCATCGATGATCTCTTGAGCCGTCATTTTCCCCATCTCTCCGTCGAACCCGAACCGACCAAAGTCCGACCCGGGTCGCATGATGGGTCCGAGAGCTTCTGACAAGACCCGGAGATGGTTTTGATGATGATTCATGGATGGACCCGAAGATCCTCCGAAACCGTCTCTTTGGGTGAAGTAGGAGTATCCGAAGGGAGGCGAGTCATGGTTGCTGCGGGTCAGGTCGAATGAAGGGACGGTCCACGGCAGGATTTGTTGGTGTTGGTTATTATGAAGAAGAAATTGGTCTTGGTACTCTTGTATGTTGTTGTGTAACGCTTGGAAACAGTCTTCTTCTCTCATCGCATACATGATTTAGTGATTTTTTTTTTGAGAAAAAATTATGGGGAAAAGATCAAGAAAGAGAGGAGAAGAAGAAGATTCGGGACAAAGGGTTTTGGAGAAGAAGAAGAAGGGAGGAGACAAAAGGAGAAGACGAGACAAAAGACAAAACATCCATTTGATATTTGGATATATAGTGGTATTATATATGCGCGTGTGATCGAAGCTTTTCTATTAATTTTTTATTTACTGTTTTTATATAAATAATCTGATGATTTTTTTTTGGAGAGAAATAAAGATAAAAGGGTTTACACGACGGTCGCATGAAAACGTTAGTGTTCCATTTTTACTTTTGTCCAAAGACTTCTCAACATTTCAACCAGACAACCATCACGGCCATTGTTGTTGTCATACGCACCGGATATTTTCTTTTTCATTTAAATACAGTTTGTTGATCTTTCTACAGTTTATGAACAATATCTTAAAGTTATAAATGTATATATATTAATACAATTTTTTTATATTATTTTTTTGTTAGATTTGGGTTCGATTTTCATTAAATAAAAATATCAACGTTATAGATAGATTTGTTTTTCTTTGATGCCTTTTTTATTATTTTGACAGTCAATTGGTTTTTAGATAAAATTCATTTCAAATATAAAGTATACGATAATCGATTCTATTGGATACAAATATTTTTACAACGTAAATAGAAATCATGAGCCTTGTTGATCATTGTTTTTTGTACATGCTCTCAAAGGGATTTAGGGCTTTGATCATTATGACGTTAGCCTTACTCTATCGTGACGCTTTGCAATTATACATATATATTCCACATAAAACTCGTTGCATGTCGTGGCCATTACTTCGAAATCGATTTACATATCTGCCCCAATACACACATATAGAGACATTTTTTTGTCTACGTGTACGACTATATACACATTATACGAGTGATTACGAAATAATTTTTACTATATGGGAAAGAGGCTATAATTGTTTCACGAAGATAAGACTGAACAAAGCGTTGAAAGGAACAAATTTGAAAATGCCACATCTATAAATCAAATAGGCGAATTAAGGAGCACAGTGGAAAACATAAAACCAAAGCAAAGTGAACAGAGCGAAACCCAACACTGACCACAGAACACACGGATTGTCGACCGACCAGACACCCAGAAAGGCTTTCGCTTTTCATCATTACAGTCGACTCGAGTCGTTCTGAGCCAAACCCACTTCTACGATCCTCATATATCTTCCTTCCATAATATTTTAATTTAATTCATATATATAATAGTATCATGAGCTTTGCATCTAGGGCTCATATACCTATATATATATATATATTATATGTAATTGACGAATAAATAAATAAAATATGTGGAGAAGTTGTGAAATTTATTTACAGGAAATAGGATACAAGGGGAGGATTAGGGTTTATAGGGGGGGGAGAGTGGTGCATAGAGAAGCCCCACACGACGTTACAAATTCTGGAATATTTTCTCCACGCTGTCCTTTTTCTCTTTCTTGCTTCTCCAAGACAAATCTAATCATTTTGTCGTTGAACTCCACTCCTCTTCCATCTTTTTTTTATTACTTCGATTTCATACATACGCAAATTATTTTACCATATATATTCATTTGATTTGAATGAATATGCGTATGAACTATTTCGTTAACTCCATTCAAAATAGTTAAATATCTTTAAAACCTTAAAATTTGTCGGACGAATGATTCAAAATGCGTATCGTATCAATCAACTTTTTTTTTTTATGTAATTAAGGGGAGATAACTTTGAATATGTGCACATGAATATGTTGAATGTGGGTGTATATACTGCTGCTAAATCCATACTACACATATCTAATTACAGTATAAAATAAAAATTTATTGCATGAAATTAAGGAAATAAAAGAAACGTTCATCACATATACATATACACACACATATATATATATATAAACACTTTCCGCGAGGGCACAGTTATAAGGTGGAGGTAATAATAATATAAAAGCAGCAATGATAACACATGTTTTCTAATGACTTTGGACAGATACTGATCATTTTCACGGTACCCAACATGCGCAGACACACACTCGCACACTAACATTACACATACATTATACATATAATATATATTATATATTTATGTTGCATGTCCATATCCTTTAGGCGAACTTGTGCTTATTGGTTGGTCCAAAAAAGGCTTCTAGGTTAAACAAGAAGAAAAGAGAAGAATTACGATAAAGTAAAATGCACACACATCAAAAGAATGCCTCTGAAATCAGTAAAATCAAAATCATGTTCAAACAGTTTGGTTTACTTAAAGCCAAACAGTTAATCATCATATAAAACCTTCTAATTTGCGCCTTCTTTTAATTTGCACACATATAATTTACAATTGTAATCGTAAAATTCAAATTAAGTACAATGTCCTCTAATTGGAATGATGATATGGGAAGCCGAATGATCTCTCTTCATGACCCCTTGTTTTATTTGGATCAAATTAATGTGTCATATATACATATCTCTCTCTATATAGAAAATAATTAAAAGAACAGTTATATATATAGCTTTATAGAATGTATTAATCAATTTCATCAAAAAAGAGGTACCGTGCAAAAATTAGCATCTCTGACTTCAAAATACTTGTTTCTAGTGAAGTGGTCAAACTTTAAATCATTAATTTCAAATCATTTCAAGTCCTACATGTGTGTGTATATGTATATATACACACACAGGCCAACAATGGAATTCAACAATTACTCAATGTCCCCACTTCGGTACTACTATTCTTCTCTGCTCCACGACACTTCATTTAAATTTGGACCCAAAAGAATGCCAAAATTCAGACATTCCATTGTGCAAAATGTCCTTTCATTTTCTTTTCGAATATGTTTCACTCATGTGATATCGCGTGGCAATTTTGCCTTCATAACGACATTATATGCGTCTCTGTGTGGCCATATTCATACGTGCGCATACATAAATATACACGCGTGTATATGCACATAATATACATATAGAAGCGTTTGGTTGATGATGAGGGATGATGTAGTCCTTATGGAAGCAATTGTTTCCATTGTCAATTTATTCATATATATATATATATATATATATATATATATATATATGTGTGTGTGTAATTTTATGTCATTAAAAAATATATATTTTTCTAGATTAGGTGCACTATTTGGTAAACTTTATTATAACATTATATAATTTCCATTTCGAAGACTTTCTCATGTGTGATGATTAGGTGATTTTGTTTTTTTCCTCCTTAGTTTTCTTCGATTTCTTACGTTTCTTTTTTTTTTTTTTTTTTTTTGGGTAACCGGGTTTTCTGGGCCGAGGCCCAGACTAATCCCGGGGCCGGGAGCCAGCCATGTGATTTGAATTATGCGCTCCCTCCCCAGCCTGGGGTTCGAACTCGGGGCGGGACAGACGCTTTGCGCCCCCGTTTCACCGGTTGAACTACCCATGTTGGGTAATTTCTTACGTTTCTTATTATAACATATGGATAATCATATTATTAATCAGCACGATAATTTTAATATCCTGAAGTTTTTATTTTTGAAATATATTAACATATATTGATTAGTCATTTAAGCTGATATATATATATATATATCATGTAAAAAAGATTAAACCTAATGTGAGTTATTTTCATTAGAACTTAAAATATACATTAAAATGACACATGAAGATAAACGACATTTCTTTGCATTAGAAACAAAATGAAATGTGATTTTTTTTAATTACAATCTTGAAGTAATATGTGTCATATTTTTAAAATTTGATTACAAGATGTCATATGTGAGTTCTTTTTTGTATAATAGGAAAAGAAATAAGTTCCACTACTTTGTGGTCACACGCATGGGCGGTCTGGTCCCCATGGTTTGCTCTCTCTCTCTTACATTTGTTTTATATATTTATATGATATATGAGTTTGAATACATACGGATGTGTGTGTGCGAGATCTGCCTTTTAAATAATTTAAGGTTTTTCTATATCTTTTTAAATGAAGATAATTACTTTAAATCGAAATGTTGGGGTGATGGTTTGCAACACTATCTTAGTGCTTTTTTAGGGCTTTGATCATTATGACGTTAGCCTTACTCTATCGTGACGCTTTGCAATTATACATATATATTCCACATAAAACTCGTTGCATGTCGTGGCCATTACTTCGAAATCGATTTACATATCTGCCCCAATACACACATATAGAGACATTTTTTTGTCTACGTGTACGACTATATACACATTATACGAGTGATTACGAAATAATTTTTACTATATATACACCATACGAGTGATAAGCCGAAATCCATTGAAACCTCAATCTATGTATATGTGTATATATATATATACATTCAACGTATAGTCGTTATGGCCCAAAAATATATAATCGTTACACAGTCACAGGCTTCAAACACAGCCACAGGCCTCGTGGGCCGTGGGGGTATAATAGTCATGGCACAAAATATATTTTATATGTAATTCTCCATGCATGTGTAATGTGTATACACTATACAGTATACACCTCCATATCTTCAAAAAGTCCTTCATCTCCTCAAATCTTCTACTGTTTTTAACTGTACTATTGTCATTTTCAGATCTTTAAGTATATAATACGACATGATTATAGAAGAGACATGACACTAAAAAAAATTCAGTTTACAGTTTCTTCTTGTTCATTATTGTTTCCTTCCCCTGTTTCCCCTGTTTCTGTTTTAGCTCGGCTCCTCAGCTCTTCGAACGCCTTCATGCTTTCTGCATCGAATCCTCCCGCAAACTGGGAAAGAACCAAACACGTTTTCTTGTTCAGATTTACATATTATTACATGCTTTGTCCCTTTTCTCTTGCCCGATTTAGATGAAGAAGAACAAAAGAAGATTTGTGACGGGGGGATTTTTACCTGGTGAACCCTGAAAGCGAATCGAACACCTTGGAGAATCAAGAACTCTCTGTTAGGGTCTTTCTCTGACCCGCTCATTGAATCGAGTTCAGTGGCCACTCGTTTCATGTATTTTCTCGCAAGTTGAACTGATGAAAGCTTGATCTGTTTGAGAACAAAAGACACATCATTTCACATTCACATTTTCCTGCATTCTCGAGAGATTCTTGCGAGAAAACGATACCTTTCCGACAACTCCTGAATCCATTAACCAATCAGCTGGAATCCCAAACTCTCTGTATCGGGAAATAGCCATGTCCCTCGTGCGTAAAAGCGCATATACGCTTCGTTCAACTCTGTTCATTAAACGCAAAAACCAAGACGGTTAGAGGATGAAGAGAAAAGATATGTTACGAGATTGTCGGGTTTTGCTGGTATAAGACGTACTTCTCCAGCAACTTGTACATTTTCTTCAAGGCGGGTTCGGAGGGAAGGTTAGGATCATCGATAAAAGAAGTCACTTGCTTCTCCAGTTTCAGGAGATCTTGATATTCAAAAGCCGCTTCTCGTAGTGCGTCGGCTTTCCCTTCCGGCCAGTCAAAGTGTTTAAGAACTGCCCTTTCGTCCACCTACTCAAGAAAATCCATTGACAATTCATAGATTGTGAGAAGATCTTTGTAAGAACAAGAAGAACACGAGTTGATTAATCAATTCAAGAGGAATGACCAGAAAGGAAAGTTCTTCATCTAGCCAGTTCACGAATGCCACGAGGTCATCTACGTTGGTGAAAGAAGCAGCTCGGACTTCACTTGCCAACGACTGAACGAAGTCGCCTTGTGTCTCCACATCAGCTTTTACCTTAACCATTTTACACATTACATCAGTGAGCTATTGTATGTGTGTATATATATATATATCATATATGTTCATGTCTGAGCTTGGAAAAAAATTTTGTGACTTACTGCTAAAAGGAATGTTGATCGGTTCTCGATCTCCCCAATCATGTTGCTCCTAGCATCTGATGCATTACTACCTCCTAAAGCCGGGAGAGAGGACCCATCTTTCTTCGCTTCACGTTTCATCAATGATTGATAAAACTCAACGAGCTCTGGAGCTCGGTGAACTTTGTTCCCACTGCCTGCTCCTCTCCCAATGGCTCCAGGTGGCGGTGGTGGAGGTGGTGGCCCACCAGGTGGCGGAGGTGGAGGAAGAGGCGGGCCACCGGGTAAAGGAGGCGGTGTTGAGGGTAAACTCGTGCTTTTACCATCCCCAGCTACCCCAGATGGTCTTGGAGGTGGACGAGGAACTCTAGTTGGTCGCTTCTCAATCTCCACAAGCTTCATTTTGGTTACGGTTTGATCGTTTTCACTGGCTTTACCGTCGTTAGATTGGTCGGTTGTCGTGCCTGAAGCCGAGGGAACTTTTTTCTCCTTTATCAGAGCAAGTCTTGGAGGCAAATTCGCACTACCCCCAAACCGTTCTGCTCTTGCTTGATCTGCTTTCTGCTTAATATGCTTCTCTCTTTCCAGAGCCAGCTTGTGCCTGTCTTTATATGCAGGATACTTTTCATCCATAACACCATCAACTGACTTTGACATCAACTGAAAGGATGATGCTACATTGTTCAAAGATTCACTTGGAGATTCTTGTTCTGTTCTGATTCCTGGGAGGTTAGGGTTTTCAGTGATTTCTTGATCAGCTTTACCGAACGTCGTGATGGCTACACTGTCGCCCGTGTTTCTGAGCATCAAAGATTCTAAAGGACCCTTTTGTCTTTGTATGCTCATACTCATTCTGCTCGGTGACTCACCATAGAATGATCTCGAGGGTGAAGACTGAACACTTGAATCATCCTTGCTTTTGCCCCATCGCTTAAGTTTCTGGATCAGACCCGGTTTTTTACTCAAACTGCTAAACCTACTTGTGGAACTATCGATGGAAGCATTGTCGAAATCCTCACTTCCTGGAGACGAAGGGTGAGAGAAGTTGCTCTCCATATCAGTATCTCCTTGCCCACGTTCTGAACCCGCATACTCTAACATCAACCGTTTGGCTCTTTCTTGTGATTTAGGACTCAGGTTCTTGCTGAGGTCACGAGCTGAGATTTTTCCAGCTGGTGTTTGGTAGTTCCTTAGTTCGTATCTTAGACACGCATTGACCCAACGGAGATACACCAACTCCTCTACTTCGCTGAACCGATTCATCTGAAGCCCTTCCACCTGCTTTAACAAATCTTCATTTGCATGCCTCAGATTGTTTATCTCTTCTCTTGCTTTGGCGACCTTATCACTCTGTTAGAGCATCACAAGTAATGCATAAACCGAGTCAGTAAAGACAGAGGTTTCGCTTAAGAAAGGATATAACTTCAGAACAAGAGAATATATAACGTAAATATCGAAAATGGAACGTGAGTCTTACCTCGGTCAAGTTGGAAAGGGCTGAATTTCTTGTTTCTGCAGCATCGAGTTTTACAGTCAGCTCTCTCTTTTCATGTTGAAGCTCTCTGTTTTTTCTTTTGAGTTCCATGAGCTCAACTTCCATTTCCTGCACAGCCTTCAGCTTTCTCTCCACTTCAGCATCTTTCTTCATGGCTTCTTCCTCTTTTACCTGAAGACTTGAAACATGCTGCTTAAGCAACAGTAACTGCCCTTTTGTCTGGTTAGAATCGAGCTGAATCTGTCTCTGTAATTCCTTGATCTTGTTTCTCGCCACATCCAGCTCCTTTCTCACCACAGCATTCTGCAATATTTCCTCTTGAAGCTTTTTCCTCTCAGCTTGCAGGGAATTTATCGTGATATTTAGCATATCGATCTCAACTGTCTTGATCTTGAGCTGCCGTTGTAATTCTACAAAGTCGGATTCTTGCTCCTTGAGCCCATAATACTCGAGCAGTTCTCCTTCGAGTTTTACCTCTCTTTCTTCTAGTTCCTTCACTAAGTTCCTCAATCTATCGAGTTCACTTTCATTATACGCCATCTCGTTCTCGTACACCCTTTCTTTCTCTGCTTTATCCAAGTCGTCATTAGGCAACGGATAATCAATCTCCCCGGATAAAAGGTTTTCAATCTCATCATCTAGGAAATCCGATATACTTCCACGAGCCTGATTGAATACACTGTTGATCAGTTTAACCTCTTCTTCTTCCTCTTCTTCCTCTTCCACCTGAAATTCTCCAATTTGTGAACAAACTTATGGAAGCAGACTAAAACTCTTAAGCAGAAAAAGACGAAACATTTCGTGAATGTTTATATGTATACTCACCTTTCTATCCTTGAGATTGTTGGTATCAGTGACCAGCTCTGTATCCCCAGCTTGGCCATTTCCTTTAAAGCATCATGTTCAGAAGCAAATGCAGAATGGATGAACAAAATCAGTTTTGTAAAATGAAGGAAAATCGCTGATAAAGATTGGTTTTTTCACAAGAAAAAAAAAACATGAGATGTCGAGAAGTTAACTACCTGAACGTTTTCTCTGTCTTGAGGATTTACCATTGAGCTTCTTAACTGTGAAGGCTGCAACTGAAGCAGCGACAAGTAACCGGAGAATCATGTATTAGAGATCTCGATAGAGGAAAAGATTCCCTTCTTCGTCTCATCCATAGAGAGATGCCGATAATCCCAGAGCAAGTAACAGCCCGTTTCTACTCTCATCCATAACCGATGACTCAACCCATCATTCCTTTCTTCTCAGAGACAAAACCAGGAAATATCCTATTCATGAAGCTTATAACTTGGATAACACACCTGTGCCTGTGAGAGAAAACCCAGATACTGACAAACTCAAGAACTACCTCCGTTCATCGAAAAAGAAAAAACTTTGCCAGATAATTCAATCTTATCAGCTAGATGGACCTTTCAAAGTGGAAAGTAAATTCCATGCTCAGAAGTTAACACAGAGAAAAATTTAAGCATCGATGATGACCGCAAGAGCTACAGAGACCACCAATAAATAGTGGCCTCATTAGCTCAAGACAGATGAGGAAAGAGACATATATGGATAGAAGGCGTCTAAAATCTTACCAAGCAATGTCCGAACCTGATGACAACTTAGTAGCTGTAAAACTCTGAATAAATCAAGAATTCATGATAAATCTTTTTGTACCTTGGTCTAAAAATGTATATATATGATTCTGCAAGAGGGTCAATGATCTAAGGGTTTTTTTTTTCTCTCTCTTATCTTGAAATGGATGTTCCAGTCAGGTGTTACCAAACCAAGCAGTGAAACTGAAAACTGAGAAAGTAGGATAGGATCATTCATAAGCCTTGAGCAAAGGATGAGCAATACAGTCATTTAATTTAAAAATGTTTAGATTAGAGTAGCAGAAAATGTGATGCAAGATAAGACAACAAAGTAGCGGAAAAGCTTTGGGGGACCAACATGAAGGGTTTTGTTTCAATGCCATGTAATGAGCAGAAAAACGAGAAAGAAAAGGTTCAGATTAGATTCTCTGTCAATTTAGTTAATGAATAGGAGTAAATGGAGCAGCATGGCAAGAAACCAAGAAATAAACCTTTGATGGACCCCTCACCATCAGCCTCACCCTCATCCACAGATTTTGATGTGTTTCCTTTTTAGCCTTATCTTGGACAGGCTTTGTGTGATTGAGAACAGAGAAGGGAAAACTGGTAAACCTAACCAATACCCAAAAACCAATAATAACCCCTAACTCAAACAAGTCTAAAGAGATATTAGCAGCTGATGAAACGGCGGGATATCGTGCTAACTTGCGGAAACTCACATAAAGGCCGTTCCTTTTTCTGATTATCACCACCATCTACAAAACTGCTGAAGTTGGATGACCTGAAAGAAAGATTTCCATGAGGTTAACAGAAGATTCAGACATAGATAAGGAAACATTGCTGGTGAGGAAGAACAGACAGAATGGGTAGAAGAGTTCATCTATCACATACCAATACCTGTCTGGCCTCTCAGAGGATTTTTCTCTCATAACACTTGAACGCAGGACAAAGGAAAGAAAAAAAGGAAAGAAAAAAATATCTGATAAAGCATTCCTTCTCAAGGTCATGAATTGGCTCCACTTGCCAAACTGTTACCCTAAACGCCTCTCTGCAGATTTCCTCTTCATTCGAGAATTTAATCATAGACACAACTAAGAATTCTTCGACTGGGAAATGGGTTTATCAATTATCAATTCCGTGACCAAAATTAAGGAATACTTCTCTTTTGAATAGAAACATAACCCAAATACGAACCATCGGAACTCGGGGTTTCGTAGTTTTTGGCAATTTGCAGTGTCAATCAATGTATAAGCCCATATCATAACAAAGATTCAATCTTGGACAAACCCTTTTCGAGGAAAAACAAAAAATCGAGAAAACCAAGAACCATGGTCAAATTCGAACATATTTCCTTCAAATTAGCCAAAGTTCGTACCTTTTCCAGCTTTCTAATTTCTTCTGTATTGCTGGGTTTCGGCTTTTCCGTTGAAGACGGCCACAGTCGCCGCTGTAGCGGGTGGCGATGCCGTAGAAAGCCTAAGCTTTTACACTGAACACCGGCGGGAACCTTCAGCTAATTTCCAATATTTTTCTAGCAATAATCCCTTTTGCGAATTGGCTCGTAACCGTAACACATGAAAGCTGTTAACTTTACATTATATTCGTGGGGAATGATGGGTTCTTTTTTCAAATTTGAAATCCCAAAATTGATTTTGAAACAGACGGAGAATAGTTTAGGTACCAACTAATGATGAGATTCGGAGAAAATATTCTTACTTTTTTAACCTTTGAATGATTCTGTATTCAAACCGGAAAAAAAGTGACCGTTGCCTCTTAAATGAAAACTTGGAGCTTGATTAGATAAACCATTGATATAACAACACAAGCATCTGTCTTTGTGCAAACCCTGAAGAACATTCTGGAAGTTCAAAAGAAAACACTTAAGACAGGCACAAGCCGAGTTTCCTACAAGAATCCACTCTCAACAGACAAATTACGAGTTTGTTGTGTTTGTTGATCTTGAGATTGGGTCGGTGATTCAAGCAGGGTTGTCCCATTTCCAACTTTGTCCCAACAACCCCCCTCAAGATCCTCGGCTCTGGCTTGGCTTGTCCTTTGCTTCATTCTCCACTCATGATCTGCATTTCCATTATCAGTCACATACCCACTTCGAAAATTAAACACAAATCTCAGCTCTTGATCCGGGTGTTTCAGAAAGATCAGAACTTTATATCGGGGTCGTGTTAAAAACAGATCGTCTAGGGTTTGGAAAAGATCGGAACTTTCACTCGAGTTCTGGGTGAACAAGACACGCGTTAAATGAAAATAATTTGACTACATAAAAAATTCAAAGCCCGATTAAAATATTTAATTGGGTTGGACCGTAGCCGAAGCTCATTAATATTGGCCCATTTTGATTTTGTTTATGGAAACGATGATATCCAGAAATAAAGTAAATTGGGTTTGGCCCATTGAAACGACGCTTTATAAATCTCTCCCGCTTCGCCCTCTCGTTCGAAATCACTCGCCGCCGATTATTTGTTTGCCGGCGATACATCGCTCCGGCGTCAAGCTTCGCCGGAGAAGTTTCGAGGGCTTGAAGATTTGATTCTACCCGATCGTGTACGAGAAATGGTTTCCACATTGCAGCCGCCACGCAACTTCTCCCTCCTCCGTCTCCGCCTCATCCACTCCAGACCCATTGTCTCCGTCGCTGCCGCCCCCGCTGCTTCATCTCTGCCGGAGTCTCAGATCCTCAGTACCCGCCGTTCCCTCCTCACCGGAGAGGTTACCGCCGTCGAACTTGCGAAGTCTTACCTTTCCCGCCTCCGTCTCACCGAACCGCACCTCAAGTCCTTCCTCCACGTGTCGGAGAATGTCCTGAAGGAGGCAGACGAGATCGACAAGCGAATTTCCAAAGGTGAGGATGTGGGTCCTCTCGCAGGAGTTCTTGTCGGCGTCAAGGATAATATCTGCACGACGGGTATGCCTTCTACTGCGGCCTCTCGCATCCTCGAGCACTATCACCCACCGTTCGATGCGACGGCGGTCAGGAAGTTCAAAGAGCTTGGAGGGATTGTGGTTGGAAAAACCAATTTAGACGAATTCGGAATGGGTGGCACAACTGAAACTTCTGCTTTCCAGGTTCATTTCGGATATATTTATGTTTCGGTGTATAATTATCTTTTAAAGGCCGAGAATTGGTGAAGGAACTATAGAGTTGTTGGTGAAGTTGTGATCTTATCTCCTAGTTGCTGCTGAAGTTAGTGATTTGTTGCCTCTTACACGGAGAGAAAGACAATCAAAGGCTTACAAATGATTGCTCTTGTGGATTAGATCGTTCATATAATATAGAACATGAAGCTCTAGACGCTTTCATTAGTTTTCTTCTTTAGATGAGGTGTTCAATACTTAGACGATAAAGTTGTGGATTTGGATAGGTGACTAGGAACCCGTGGGATGTAACCCGTGTACCAGGAGGGTCTTCGGGGGGCTCAGCGGCAGCTGTTGCAGCCAGGCAATGTATGGTGGCTCTTGGAAGTGACACTGGTGGTAGTGTGAGGCAGCCAGCATCGTTCTGTGGCGTTGTTGGTCTTAAGCCAACATATGGGCGTGTCTCAAGATTTGGTCTTATGGCTCATGCCTCTTCTCTGGATGTAATTGGGTGCCTTGGTTCTACTGTTGCTGATGCTGGAATTCTTCTTCATGCCATCTCTGGTCATGATAGATTCGACCCTACTAGTAGCAAACAGGTAATTTTTCTTGTGGTCTTCTACATTTTTACCTTTTTTTTTCTTGTTACCTCTGCTATTTGTGAGCTTGTGCATGGTTCATATGCATTACATCTGTGCTTTTGTCAGGAGGTGCCTGATTTTCCGTCTCTGTTTCCTTCTTTAGACTCTTTTGAATCTAAACCACTGAAGGGAGTGAAAGTTGGTCTGATTCGCGAGACTCTTGAAGTTGGTGTTGATCCCGGAGTGAAATCTGTAACTCAGGAAGCTGCATCATACTTAGAAGCCTTGGGTTGTGATTTGACAGAGGTTCTGCTTAAAGTTCTTCTGTACTGTACTTTAATGCACTTATTAAGTCTACATGTATTGATGATGTTACTGAGATTATGGACTAAATTTCAGGTGTCAATGCCCGCATTTTCTCTTGGATGGCCAGCCTATTATGTGATTGCCTCATCGGAATCCTCCTCCAACATAGCACGTTATGATGGCCTCAGGTAAGATCGGGGAATGAGTTGTAGAATTGATATGCATCAGGTGCATGGTTTATTGTTGTTTGATTAGCTACTAAGACATCTTTAAAGAACTGATGTGCTTTCTGTCGTATATATGACTTAATATCAATATCTGTTATTTGTCTCATCATGTGTTTTTCCAGTCTTTGTTCCTTCCCTCAAACATCTTAAAGGTTCATATGGATTTAAAGGATCATCTTCAAACAATTATCAATGGAATACACACACTGAAACGATTGATTGTTGTGTTGGTGTGCAGATATGGGAATCAAGCTACTGCTGATGAGCTAAACAAAGTGTATGAAGATTCCCGGGGTAAAGGATTTGGCTGGGAGGTATGAGAATGCTAAGGCTGTATAAGCAAATTCATTGAATTTTTCAGTTTGAGTGTGGAAAAACATGTTTGTTCTTGTAGAGCTCTCATTGTCTGAAGGAAGAATTGCGGTTGTTATCCATTTCTAAATAGAGAGTGGCTTCTTTTCTCAGGTGAAAATGAGACTTTTAATGGGAACATATGCCCTGTCGGAGGGTTACTATGATGCCTACTACAAGCGAGCTCAAAAGGTTACACTCAGTCCTTCACCTTCAGTTTAGCTAGGATGGGTTACGGGTAAAATGTCATATGGTTTAGTTGATCTTCAAGCAGTCGATGTTTGTGGTTGTTTTCGTGTCATGCTCTAAACATGTAATGCCTCGATGTTTCGGTCCATTTAGTGATAACTTTAGACAGAAATTTACAGTTGAGGTGACGATCATTTGTAGGTGAGGACATTGATCCAGAAAGACTTCAAGGCAGCGCTAGATCATAACGACATCCTTATCTCTCCAGCAGCTCCTTCTGCAGCATTCAAGATCGGTAACCCGCCTTTAAATAACTCCATTTTTGTTGTGTATTTGCTTAAAAAAAAGTAAAAATTTGCCCATCTGATAATACACCAAAAGAATCAAAGACCCTTCTGCTGATAAAAACTTCTATAGGTGAAAAGAGAGATGATCCATTAGAAATGTACGCTGGAGACATTATGACGGTAAGCTCTTCGATCCTCCATCACGCCTCGACTATAATCCATCACACATTCATAATGATAGACAACTACTAGCTGAATTGGCAATTCTTGGATATGAACTTTTTCGGGTTTCTAATGATATTGTAAACAACGCAGGTCAATGTAAACTTGGCGGGGGTTCCTGCAATAGTTCTACCCTGTGGATTAGTAGAGGGAGGACCTTCAGGTCTTCCTGTTGGCCTTCAAATGATCGGTTCAGCCTTCGATGAGGTAATCAAACCAAATTCAGTTTCTTGTAAGAAGCAAAGTGAATCTCATAGGAAAGATCAAGAATTTGTCGAGACATTGTAGGAAAGATTCAGTCTTTGCTGTCTGTTGATGTTCATTGTGCTTCGGCGTGGACAGGCAAAACTGCTCAAAGTGGCCCATATATTTGAGCAGACACTTAAAGGTTCCAGCTTTGTTCCTCCACTCCACTGTTAGCCGATGTTGCCTGAGCATATACCCTCCTCTCCGGACAAGACAAATCAGCTTGGTCATATGACCGGATCGTATACAAACTCATTCTTTTTAGAATACATTCACATTCAACTAAATATATATATATATATATATATACATATATATATGTTAAAATGGTCGACGTGTAATAATTTGATCAATAAAAAGAATATTGCAATTGATGGTTATTACTAATTAGTGAATATCCGGTTTGTGGCTACTTGGTTGTAGTTGATTGATTTATTTTAAACCGGTGTATTTTTGTAGTTTTTTTTTTTTGTATTTGCCGTTGTATTTAAACACTTCCAGATCTTCAATATAATATAAGAGGAAACATTTTCACATTCTCTGTTTCTATCAATTTCTTTCTCAAACTAAAATATTTCCGTTGAGATAATATTATTCGTCATTGAATAATTTAATAAAAAAATCAGGCTGTATCTTCAGTATTCTCGATTTGTATCTATTAAATGTGACAAAATACTAAAACTTCCAAAATTACATTAGAAATGTCTACCACACTTGTACGACCACGTAGCTTCATAAATTAAGGGGTGCTTAAAATATAATTAAAGTGACACAATCAGGAGTTAGAGTGTAAGTAAAAACCACTTTAATTATGTTTAATTTTATATTTCAGATGAAACCATATTTTAAAAAAATACCAATATTCCAAGTAGCCCACGTTCTCGTGTCCCGAATGTCGGTCTCAACCCTGAGATTTCAATCCAACGGCTCAAAATCACCCGCGTCCATGTTTGACATTTTCTTCTCCCGATATATCCACTGAAACGTTGCCACGTGTCATCTAAACGTTCTCATGCACGTATCGTATGTACGTAGCAATTAGCAAATAACCTAACCTTTATGCTGTCGATAGGTACCCATAAATCGGTTATGAACACAAATTACTGGACAGCTTATACTATACTATATATATATATACCCAACAATTGTTCTTTGACGAATCAGAGCTAAATCTCATATCCACCCAACAATTGGCGCGGGTTGAATTTAATTTAGTTAGTAAAATAAATAAAAGCATTATAAATCATCCATAGTATAAATGTCAACCTAAACTCACACGCAAAGGATTCTTTTCTTTAGGTACTTGTGGACTTTCTCGCATTAATTTTGACTTTCAATTCCTCCTGAACTTAATTACATCACCATCAACTATTCAAGTGCATACGTGTACACTGCATGTGAGTATGAATGTAGTGTCTATGTGTGTGTTTATGTATAAATACGGAATATTATATATATATGATGCAGGTTTTAAAAATATTGCAAAATACATCCACAGAAAAACAAAAGACGTGACCAACTAGAGAGAAAATTAGTTAATTAAACGCGTTTATAATTATTGGAGAACCCCTCGTGTATATAATTCCGAATATTCTAAATTAAAACCTGCATTTTGAAACCAATAGTTTCATATATATGTGTGTGTATATATATATATATATATATTTGGAAGTACATGCAGATACGTACATCCTCCCACGTAGGTAAAGTCCTATACCGTGGCAGTTTAAAATATAAAATAAAAGTTTTCGTATTTATTTATTTATTTATTTGATTATCTTATTCCCTTGCGTTGACATCCCAAAATCCAATAATTTCTAAAAGTCCCTTGCCTTGCGCTTCACTTCTCCATCTTCCTCATTTCTATTACTTTCCCTCGTTTGACCCATTCATTTACACACACACAAGTTGACATATACGCAACATATATATATATATATAATACACACGTATTGGTCTATATATGCATACGTATATATTCCTCTAGCCCGTTCTTCACTCTTCTAAAGAAATCCAAAGACAAAAAAAATCACCCTTAAGTCTCTCTTTCATTGCTTCTTGCCTTTCAATAACCCTAATAGCTAAACCGATTTCTTCTTCGTCTTCTTCAAAACATAGAATGAATCTCACAACCAAAACCGCAATTATAGCGGTTTATGTCATATTAGTATTGGTTCCTGGTTCTTGCAGAGCCACGAGGATTGGATCGATGAAGGTTTCATCGGATATGGGATCAAGAAGAACAAGACACGAGATGGGTTTCGAAATCAACGGTCAGAAATTTCACTTCATGTCCAAAAAGGCTAGAGTGCCTCCTTCGGGACCTTCCAAGAGGCACAATTCTCTACAACATTAACATTTTATATACGACGCATATGTAATCTTTGTTTCTTTAGTCACATATATACTTAGGATATTCTTGAAATTGTTATCGAAGGAAATGTTTTTTATTATTCAAACACGGCTTTCTCGGCCTTTTCACTTTTTCTCCCTTCTGTTCTTCGAAGGGTTTCTTTTGTTTTGCTGGTTAATATCATAAAGGAGGTATATACGCAGTATTCTTTCACAAATACGCAAGTACGCATGTGTATCTACGCAGAAGCAATACACTTGTGTAAAGAATACATACGCAGTATAATTTGTATTAATTGCGTTTACAATCATGTATTTATTTATTTTTTTTGCATGATTCAAGATGCACCTATACTTACATTTGTTAATGGAAGATTCAACTTCGGATTTAATTTTTCTCGGCTTCCACGTAAGACTAATAATTTTCAACTTTAAATATTTAATATGAGTTGAAATCGGGTGAATAAAATTATGAGTATGTGTAAATCTTGATTTTAATATTATAAGGAATTCCAACCCCACACGTTCGACGCATCGAAAAAGTCCACACAATTATCTATTTGTTATACGTTATTATGATTAAAGAATTAATCACAGGGACAGGAAATCTACGGTTATTTCGGCAATGTCAGCGGGAACGAATCTCGAATACCTCGTAATTGTAGCAAAATTAATTAGACTCGTATTCAAGATAACCACCAACTTGCAAGTTTTAACACATGACAGAAAAAAAAATCATAATATCCAATATTTTTTGGCATTATTGTAGTATATGATAACGGTTTCCATTTGAATCTACCTGTGTATATACGTACCATTAATAGCTCATATTTATAATTTATTCGCGTGAGTTACTACAGACGTGTGTTTTTTTTAATGTTTAATTTTCTATAACTTTCATTTACAACTTGTTATAAAATTTTGGGCACAAAGAAAACCATCGCAATAAGTGGGGATTGTAACTGTATTATACAGTGGAAAAATAGAAAGTAACCAAAAAATGAAAAACAATTAGAAGAAAACGGGAATATGCGGATAAAAAATAAAATTGAAACGAAAATGGAGTGTAAATTACATGCAGCCCAAATACTATCTTAAGGTGGGCCTATAAATTTGGGCCCGTTAACAAAATAAATCGGCCCATTTATGGCCTAAAAATTGCTAGACTTGGTGAACCACGCGCTTGAATAGTCCATGAGAATCATCCGCTCAAAAGCCTAAAATCAAACAGATATAATGATACAGTTTCATAAACCCTAAGGTAAAACACACCGAGTCCATTTGCACCCATCAGGACTCACCATGTGAAAAGCCTAACTCGCTCGAACCGGGCTCTCATGTGCATGAGCTCACCCATATCGGACCCCACCGCTCCATTCCCCACCTCCGCCGCCGCCCGCAGAACTCCGGTACCCATCGTGATGAGCTCCACCACCGACAGAACCCTCCACTCCGCCGCACCACATTCCCTCATCGCCGCCAAACCACATTTCTTCCCGTTGCCATACGTCCTCCACGTGGGCTCTCCTATAAGCATTTTGAAACCCATAACTTCTACCTCTCCTCCTCAGCCATCATCGTGATCGTGATCGAAATGATGTTCTTCTCGCACTCCAGCGCGATCCGGACAAGCCCAGATGCCATGTCTCGGACAAAGATGCTCATCGGTGTCGACGGCTCGATCAGAACCGCGGGTAACCAGGTCAGGCCGTCTTGTGCGGAGAAATGGACGTGACCACGTCGGTTTCCGAACAGAGTCCCCGCGACCCGAGTATCCAGACCCGATGTTCTTGTCGTAGTGTTCGGGATCTCTTCCTCGTCGTCGTCGCTGTCGACTTCCATGTCGTCATTGTCGTCTTCATCTTGGATCATCTTTCTCCAGGGAAGGAAGAGACGTGAGGAGATTTGGCTAAGATCATCTTCGTGTGTTGGTCTCTTTTTGGGTTATGGAATGAAATATTTTTGTCGGGAAGAAAGATTGTGGGTAGTTCTTTATATCGGGTCCATTAATATTTTATTTTAATTTATTATTTGATGTCTATAAGGTTTTTCTTTATTTAATCTCTGTCACCCCTAAAAGTATTTAGAAAAATATTAATATATGAAAAAGTACTCAGAATACATCTAGTCGCTGTAACGCAAACAAATTATGATTCATATTAACACTAAGATAAAAACTAACAATGTGAATTCTTTCTATATTATTGTATAATAGTAATCATACAAGATTATCGAATCTTTCTTCCTCAATATCACTCGCTTTTATATTAGTATTTCATAATATATATATATATATATATATATATATAATATGTCCGGGAATATGAATTTATCGAAATCATTTTATGTAAAAACCAAATGATAGATCAAATCAAAAGTAGATAGAAAAATAAAGACCTAGGACGAGAGGGGATTAAGAAGGCGATCAGCCTCCACCTAACTTGTGTACAGATGTAGAAGTAGGCTCCTTGGGAATATGAACCACACTGCACAATTCCAGATAAAATATTAGTAAAATAGGTTAGTGAAGTTATATATATTGTCAAATTAATAGGTGTATGTATACACACACGTGTGTATATATACACACACACTCTACCACATACGTTAGAAGATGTGTATAGATATATATATATTCATACGTTAGGTAGAGGCCTAGAGGGTAGTCACTTCATGGGCACGAAATGACCTTCAAGGCACCATCATAGTGTTTGGTATCGGCCCTGCATCTTTTTTATTCATTTATTTCTCTAATCACATCATTCCAAGAAGTTCAATACGGACCATTGAATACTTAAGAGATTCATTAACCCAACATTAAAAGAATCTAAGTGAAGAGAGGGCTTAGATTAGGACAAATGATCGTTAAGATGTCAGATAAACGATGGGACGAGTAAGGCGACATCATCGAGCCAACAAACTCTTAAGTCTCTCTGTTGTGTCTTCTCCCACTGAACCCTACACGCCTTGTATTGATCCCTAAGTTAGAATTTTGTATGCCATCTTATTTCATCTTTAAGGGGATAGAAAATATGGATGGACTAATTAAGGGTATTTTTTTCTGACAAAAAAATAATATTAAACTCTTTATTATAAATGATATATTTATCAATGGATATTTAATTAGATTATAATTGACATAGGATCTATAATGTCACCAAACTACCCATGTCAGATTAATTAAATATGATATTAATGTTTCAAATATTTATGGTATTTTACTTTCCTACAGGGAATTGGTTTTACTCATCTCAATCAAATTGGGCGTTTTTAGGCCCATTTTTCCGGATGGCTTATAAGGACCGAAATCTCAATCCAATTGGGCTTTTTAAGGCCCAAATCTTAAATTTGTTTATCATGTCAAAACCATGATATTTTTATTGTCGGTTTGATCGGTTTCTATAATTTCATCTCAATTAAAATACTCCCCAAAAAAGATAAAACCCGTTAAATATCAAATATATACAAACACAAATCGGGCTAATGTGGATATATAATTAATCTTCTCGTTTTTTCTTCGTATTTATTTCCCAGAAGAAAAATTATAATCACTTTTGTTTCAAAGTTTCTAACTAAAATGATTGATTTGGTTCACAATGAATTGAACTTGGAGTTCCATGAAAACATTAAAGAAGAAAAAAAAACATACCATGTATGCGCAAAAAGAACAAAAATAATATCGTATTACATTCAAAACTACTAGTGAAATAAATATGTGGAAATTATAAACTCATATATTCATATGACGTCGAAAATAAAATATTAAAACAATCAAGGTATTTATGCTTCTTTATTTGTTAAGGGGAAAAAAAAATACCCAACAATGGAATCAAGCTTCTTTTGAGATTAGTTGCCAACTTTTGGTCAGTGGAAGGATTTGGATTCTCAATGTTGCCTAAAGCATATACCATTTCTCTGCTACCAAGTATCCTCCTCGACATGATAGCCGTAACGACTCCATCTCCACTTTCATATCCCACCCCCACAACCATTAATAGACAAGTAAATACAAAAAAAAATGAATATATATATATATGTAAGCGATTATCATGTGATCATATTATAAATTTATGTGTTATCAGTCGTATGGATGGATCGGTAAGGGATTGGCAATGGGTTCCTACAAGACAAAAATTTAAAGTCGTGGGTCGGAATATATCGTTAAACCGACGAACACAACGTTTAAAATGTGGGTGTTGCAAGTTATAGATATCCTATATGTTATTATATGGTTAATTTTACGGAAACATAACAGAGCAAATGTGGTATGCGTCTCCGCAGCAATCATTAGGGTTGGGATTTTTTTTGTGTGTACTCCAAAAACTGAATCGAAAAAACACACACAAAAGAATTGTTGGTATATGGATAGTGGAAATCGCGTGTGAAATCAGATCTTTACATTCATCATGAAGAAATCTGCTTTGGTCCGTCGTCGTTTTTCGCTATGGGGACTGATCACTAACAAACATTTCGGGAACCAAAAATATATATGGTACGACGATATAAAATGTCTCAATGCTCAAAATTATATGTCTTTGTTGTAGTAAAGTGAAGCATCCACTTATAATATGACCCCATCAACGCTAGCTACCATATAAGCGAACGTATATGTACGTACATATATATATACACTCACAAACACGTACAAAAAAGTGTATGGTGATTCTAGATCGTGTTTAGCATCTTCGGTCCCACTAGATGCTCATTACTCCAATTTGCATAACGTTATCCCTTTTTGTCCGGAAGTTATATTAACATGCAATGTTTATGGGTAATTTTATACAAATCTTTGGAAATAATTGATATATAAGAGATTGATTATAATGTATCAGTACATATAAGACTAACTGGTCGTAAGAAGAATTAATTCCAAAGCGAAAAAGTTAATATATACAATCATCAATGTGGGGGGTTTCGCCAACTATATTTAATAGAAAATTAAGTATATACATATACCCACACCACCCTATAAGACTCTAATAACTATTTTTTTTTTGTTAACATCTCATAACTATTCTAACTAAGGACCCAACAGATTGTGGGCGAATGGTTAAGTTTGGTGTAGGAATCCTCCGTTTTAAAAAAAAAACTATTCTACCTAAGAGTCATTATAAATATTATATATATATATATATATATATATATATA